ATCACAAGTAGGCAGAGAGGAAGGCATAGAGAGAGAGGAGGAAGCAGGTTCCCTGCAGAGCAGAGAGCCCGATGTGGGGCTCGATCCCAGGACCCTGGGATCATGACCTGAGCTGAAGGCAGAGGCTTTAACCCACTGAGCCACTCAGGCGCCCCTAAATTATAGCTGCATTTAAATGAGCACCTGCTTCCCTCTGGGTGGGTCTGGATTTCCCCTGCTGGCCCCAGGGGGCTATGCCACAGGCTTGGGAGGTCCACGCGTCTGTGGTCACTCAAGCCCTTCACCCCTGGGGAGTTCCTGGGTCTGGGCTGGGCACCATCCTGGCATCCTCCACTTCTGTGGCCACTCAGTCGGCAGCTACCTGGGGCCCAAACTTGTTTAGACCCCCTTTCCAAGTCCTCCTCTTTGTCTAGAATCCCACTGGAACTTACACACCCCTAGCTGCCAAACTCAGGTTTCAACACAGTGACTGAAAACCCTAAGGAAGAGTTTCTGGTCAGGCGTGGACCAGTCTCCCCCCAGCCCCTTGCCACAGGAGGGTGTGGAAAAGGAGCCCGTGCAAGGACTGAGCCCTTACTGTTCTAGCTAACTCGTCTGAGAAGCCCTGAGAAGGCCTTTCCCAGGACGCATGGCCGCGTTATGTTCAGTCGGCTGCCCGGCCCAGGGCGCTCAAAGCATCTTGCTCGGGAGAGCACAGATTAGCAGCCTCGGTTCCCTCAAAGCAGCTGGTTTCCTTTCCAATCTGGACCCATCCGAGAGGGGCAATAGGGCCTTGTCTTCCTGGAAACCATTCACATGGGTGCCTGTTTGTCCTGGTCCTGGCTGGCTTTTCTGTGATGCAAGTTTTGGCATGACAGACACAGGAACCTTTCTGGCAGCACCCCCCCCACCTCTCCTCCAACACCCCCTCCCCCAGGCCTGACAGTCCCTCCTCCTCCAGGCAAGACCCTCAGCCCCGAGGCTGCTGGCTGACCCATGGCAGCTACTCCAGGAGGCCATTTGGGCCTCTTCAAGAGCCGGTCTGTTTGTCACCCCCTCACTTTTTCTGTTTATCTTTCCAGGGCTATTTGTGACAGCCTATCCTTAGTCCACAGAACGGTTTCCTTTTAAGGCAATTGAGGCATTCTTTTCGGGGGGGGGGGGTTTACAAGTTTTTCTGAAATTTCTACACAAAATTTTGCCCTCCTTTTATTTGTCCAGAGAGTGTGCGTGTGGGACACCTGGAGGCCTCAGCTCGTGTGCCCACATGAGCACTGCTAGGTCTAGGCCAAAGCTGGTGGTCAAGGTCTAGCCCTGTCCAGTCCTGCAGAAATGGGGCAAGCTTGGGGGTCAGTTGAACACAGACACCCTAGCCTCTGCTCATCGACCAGTTCTGGGACACAGGCAGCGGCAGGGCTGGTGGGGTGGGCACGGCTTTGTGTGCCTCAGTTTCCCCATTTATCAAGTAAAGGGATTGGACTAAGAGGCCTCTGAGGGCCCTTTAGGGTAGATCTCAGATTTGGGATCACTGGCCTGGGCTCAGCTGGCCATGGTGCCTGCTCTTAGGCATTTGGGTGCAGTCAACTTTTGCCTGAAATATCAAACCCTAGTAAGAGAGATGCAGTAGGGCATTAACATTTATTATTATTATTATTATTATTATTATTATTATTTATGGTTTTCAAATAGGACCAGGACTACAGGGATAGAGAGAGCTAACGCTAACTGGAGCCTTTTAGGGGTCAAATACTCTGGAGGAGAAGGACCAATGGCAGGCTGTTCCTCATTGGCAGATGTTAGAGCAGACGGAGGGCATGGTGTATGTGAAGCTTTTCCAGTGCAGGCAAGACCCAAGGTTAATACTTAAACCTGTGGGAGGGGGCACTGTGGGAGAATGCTCTGGGGGAGGGTGCTGCGGTGGGTTCATTGTGGGAGGGGGGTGCTGGGAGACAATGCCTTCACGGATACGCTGTGGGGGCCACAGTGGGGGGCTGTTGGAGGAGGAGGTCCTGTGGGAGAAAAAATGCTGGGGGTGCTGTGGGAAAGGGCTCTGAGGCCTTTGGAGACTAGGAGGGTGGAGGCTCATCCCTAGGGAATTCCGTCGTACTCCTGGTGTGACCTCCTCCAGGTTGCCACGAGCTGGAGAAGGGTTGCTGCCATCCAGCCCCATCTCTCCCCAGGGCAGCCCCACACAGTGAAATTGCCTTGGTGATGCCCTACAGGCAGCGGTGATGGGAGGAGAGCCAGAGGGAGAATCAGTCCAGTCTACCACATTGCCCCGGCCCCTGGGAGCTGAACAGGGAGTCACCAGGAGACCCTCATCCCCAGGGGGTCTGAGGAAGACCCCCCACTGGCCATTTGCTATCTACCAGGAGAGCTGCAACCCTGGCTCCTCCCAAGCAGCACCCAGGACCCACACCTATCTCCACCCTGGGCACAACTTCCCTGTCAGCCAGACAGGATTTTTTCTGAGTATAAGGCTGGTGGCAGCTAAGGGTGACCCATGTTCCCCAAGCCTCAGTGCCAGTAGAAACCATGGAGACTAATGGGCCAGTGCAGGGGTCTAGCTGTGTGTGGCTGGAGCCCTTCCTGGCCCTGGGCTTGACATGGCTGGCACACTTACTCCCCTAAACCAGAGGGCTCCGGGGTCATCCCCTACACTGCCCATCTGCCTGTGGTGTGTCGACCCCACGGGGCCTGGCTTCTTCATGCCCGTGTGTATTGCCCTCCAAGGTGGCCTCCGGGGCCCCCCCGGGCCCTCTTTGTCCCCTGCTGCCCACCTCTGGCCCTTCCCAGGGGCTCCAATCACGGTTTTTCTTCCGAATGGAGCAATTGCCACTGATACAAGTAGTCTCAGGTAACTTTAATGAAAGTGTCGGCAGTCCTTTGCCTCATGGTGGTATAGGGAGGGCTGAGCCCAATGCAGCTGCTGAGACCAGCCGAGCTCACAGCTCCAGACTCGGGGTGCCAGGGCGGGAAAGCAGCACTTCTCACCGCAGAGTCCAGCAGCCGACCCTCGTGGAAGGTCATGTCTGGGCTCTAGGCCCCGAGGTGCCCTATGCTGGCGTTACTAACCCACAGCCCATATGTATGATGGGACAACATGGACGGCGGAGGCCCCAAAGTGACCGCCGCCACTGTGGCCGGCAAAAAGAGTGATTTTACAGCTACACGAGAAAGAGTGGTCATTCCGTCATTAAACAGCACACATTCTATATAAATAAAAAGTAAAAAGGGGGAGGATATGGGGGAGGGAACGAAAATTGGCACAGACACGGATATATTGCTTTCCAGTTTCAATGCGACAGATGCAAATCATGACACCGGGGAACAGAAACAAGGGCTGGGTTTAGATTTTCAAAGCCAAGTGTGTTCCCCTTGCGGGTCTGGTGGGTTGCTAAGATGGATGGGGATGGGGAGCCAGGCCAGAGGTGGCTTGGAGTTGGAGGCCTGAGAAACCCCGTGCATCCAGAAATGTGCAGAGGGCACAGGACTCCGCTCCCTGCCCTAAGCCCCCCAGGAGAACAGCATTACGTTAAAATGGTGGGTCTGTTCTCCTTGCAAGAATAAAGCACAGAGAAATAAATACAGTATGTGGACATAATACCTTCAATGGACTGTCTTCTGCTGCCTCCCTTGCCTCCCCGCTTCAACAGGTCCATAAGCAGAGGAGACGTTTGGGGGCACATGCCCCCCCCCAACCATGTGCTGCAAGTTCAGGCAGGAACTGCCTTGTCAAGCGAGCCCTCCCATCCCCACCCCTGCCACGCAGGACATGGGAAGGATCATGGGACATTGCCACCAGGTACTGGTGTAATCGCGTGACAAGCAAACACCTTTTCCTGAGTCACACCATCACCTCCCTCCTCTGGTTCACTACATCCTCTCTTCTTGCAAGACCAGCATGGAAACTTGGCTTCTCCTGGTTTCTTTTCTCCTCACCCTAACCCCTTTCTTAAAAAAAAAAAAAAAAAGAGCAACTATTCATAGATTTGTTTCTTCAAAACTTAGTGGCCTCCCTCATTCTCTTTTTTCTAAGCTGGGTGGTCAGGAGGGTTACTGGGAATGTCCTGGCTTCTGTACTGGTATTTGGAGAGCAGGAGAGGCAGGCAGCAGGGGCCAGGGGTGGGGTGTGTGTGTGTATGTGTCTCTGTCCTTCCGCCTGCTCTGGGATAGGAGCCCAGCATCCTGAGCCTGGCTGGCAGATCAGCTCCCCCCTGCTCCTAACATTCCCCCATTCCTGATGCTCAGGAGACTTTAGAATGGGCTCCTGAGAAAAAGAGCCGGAGTGTGGAGGAAGACAAAATGTCGCTGGGACACGGACTGTCTATGGAGTACATTCTAATATCGTATTAGGTATCTGAATCTGTTAGGAAAAAAATTTGAAACTATGTGTAGAAAACTTAAAAATATTCAAGTATCAAAAGGCTATTTGGATCAAAGTTTAAAACAAGCTGTCAGCAAGCTGTTGCTGCCAAGAGGAAATTTTACAAAAGTTAGTACTGAGTTTGTTCAGCAGAGAGCGAGAGAATGAAGTGATCTGTGTGGTGAGGGGGACGATCAGGGGAAGGGAGGGTATGGGCAGATGGGGTGATGGGCTGGAGAAAGCCAGAGAGACTGAGGCCTTTTGAAGCTGAAGAGGAGAGCCTGTGCCCAGCAGGCAGTGGACAGGGTCACTATTCCTGGAGAAGAAGCCATAAAGTGCACAGCCTGGACCTCCCTCCCCCTGATGTCGGTCCTGGACAGACGGACAGATGGACAGACAGACGTTACATGGCTCCATGGGGAGCTGCCTTCCAAGGGGACATGAATAGCAAAAACAAAGCAACAGGACAGAATAGGAAGACCCATATCTGGACAGAGCTCCTTCTAGAAAGAAATAAAAGGAAGGAGGCAAAAGGGGTCAAACGCTACACAGTGTTGACTTAGCTTTTCAAACCCTGTTAAACAGAGTCGAATTTCTAAGTCAGGGAAACTGAAAAGCCCCCACCCACACAGGGACAGGGCTGTGGCCCCCACGGTATGAAGCAGCATCAGTGTTTATTCAAGACACCATAGTGAGGGAATCTGGTCATGTTCCCTTCTCCCTGGAGAGGGTGCATCTTGACAAGTGATCCAGTAGAAATCTTTTAAACTCTGGTAAGTTAAGTTCGTAGAAACCACTCCCTTCGCCTGGTCCCACGGCCAGGCCTGCGCGCCGAGGCATGCTGGCGTGGGGCGCCCTCTGGTGGCAGCATGGACAACCGCAATCTGAGGCCCGGCGGGAGCTCACAGACCCAAAGGGCCCCGAGGCCCATAACTGCCCAGGCCACTTAGCCTTTTGCCTTGGGTAGCTGTCTCTAGGCAGGTGGTCCAGCTCTTGGGGGCAAGGCGGCCCAATTACTCCTCAAGAAGATCCGGTTCTCGCTCTGTGGATAGCCCGATTTGCCAGGAGGTTTCCAGGCCGTTCTGCTGGCCTCTCAGAGATGGAACTGGGCCTTTAGACTTCAGTGGAGAACAGGATACTCTGTCTCTTGCTGTCTGGGGCAGGGATGGCCTCCAGCTGCAGGAAGTACAGCAACACCTGGACCTGCCAGGGCACAGCAGGGAGGAGGAGAGAGGCAAGTGGCTCAGAGGGATGCTCATAGCTGCAGAGTGTGCTGGTGACAATGAGCCCCTCCTGGCAAGAGATCTGAGCGTCCCTGAAGGAATACTGGGCCAGCCCTGAGAAGCCCCAGGAAGGAACAGTAGGAAGGGCAGTGGCCTGAGTCCTCCCATCGTCCCCCCACACCTCAGCCACATGGCCTCAGTCCCTCTCTCTGCATCTCGGCCCCCTTCCCTGTACAGCTGGGTGGGAACAACTGGCAGGACCCCGCAAGGGCCAGGCAGAGGCCACCTCTGTGAGGTGAGGCAGTGTGAGCTGGAGTCTGTCTCCTCATACCTGGGACATGACTTCCAGGGACCAGCTGTCAGTCATGGATATGGGCTGGCTGGGGTTGGCAGGGAGCTTGCTTTCCTTCTCTGACGGCCGGAGCAGTGTGGGGCCGAAGACTGTGGCAAGGTTGTGCAGGGACATCTTGTTCACTGTTTCCTTTTCTGCCACCCTGCAGACGGCCAAAGCAGAGGGTGCTACTGTGACACAGCTTTCAGGGTGGGGGTGAGACAGAGGGGCCAGACCATCCCGCCGAACTCAGGAAACATGACAGTGGGCCCCATCCTTCTGCCTTGGGCTGACTCTACAACACAGACACCCCACCCCTGGTCGTGCCGAAAGCAGACCCCACCCCACTTCTTTTGGGATGGAGGGGCTGAGGATGGAGAGCACCCGAGGCTGGCAGGTAGCTGGGCCAGCTGTGGGCCATGACCTGCTGGGGAGAGAAAGCCCAGCCACTGGCTATAACTGAAGCATCTCGCTCCTCCCTTAAGACTGGAGAGTGCAGGCGGGGTGGGGGAGCTAGTGGCAAGGTCTCTAGGAGCCATGGAGTGCGACAGGAGCCAGTAGGCCACAAGAGAGCCTGCCCTGCGGCCTCAGGGTCCTGGAACCCTGGGCCCAAGGAAGAGTTGGGGTTACCTTTTCAGGTGGTCCAGAAGGAAGAGGAAGGTCAGCAGGTTGGCCTCTGGGAGTGACAGCAGCAAGTTAAGCATGCAGCTCTCCTTTGCAACAGGGTCTGACAGAGCTGTGGGGGAGGGGAGTTGGGAGGGATGTTATTCTCAGGGTCACAGTCAAGCTGGAGGCCCCTCCTGGGGCCCAAGTCAGAGGGCAGAGCACAGTCCAGGCCCATCATTGTCCTGACCCACACAGCATTGGCCCCCAGTGAGGACCCCAGGATGGGTGCCTTATCTGTATCCCAGAGGGCTGACAGGCACCCCAGGGACCAGTGGCAGAAGATGCCAGGCATAGCTGCTCTCCTGGCTGGCTTGGCCATTCCCACCTTCTGCTCAGAAAAGCCCAAGGCACGAGAAGCTGAGCATGGAATGAAACGTAAAGGAAGAGGGGCAGGAGTTTTGGGGGGGCCCTGGCAGCTCCCTCATCACCCTGTGTACCCTGGGCCCCAGTGCCCCCACTTCGGATACCACCCTCCGGGTTGACTTAGGGTCAGGCTGGGCTTGAAGCCCCATGTGATGGGACTAGGACCTGGGGTTAGAGGAGCAGGGCAGGCACTCCAGTGAGGAGGAAGGAGCCTCTAGGACCCCATACCCCAGTGCGTCCACAGTGGTAGCGGCTGCTTCACCCCCTGGGGCCACTTGGAGGGATGCGGACAATTGGAGGCCCTATAAAGATGGGCAGAGGCCTTCCGGGACCAGCTGGGTACACAGTCCCCCTGCCACCCACCAAGTTTGGACTGAAACACGGACCGGGTGGAGAGAGGGAACCTCCCATGCTCACCGATGCCCTCGGCAAAGTTGGGGTAGAATTCATCAGTGAAGAGGGGCTCTGGCAGCTCACGGAAATACAGCTTCAGCGTTCCGGCAATGGCGTTCACGTCCATCTCGCTCATCATCACCGACACGTCCTTGTTATCTGGAAGGAGTGCGGACATGAAGCACAGCCTACTCAGGGATCCCAAACAGGGCTCCGCTCTCCCTGCCTCGGCCTAGCACAGCCCACAGCAGGCTGGTTTTTGGGGTTCCTCCTTTCAGCAGCTCATCTTCTTCCAAGCATGCCGGTGATTCTGACATGGGAGGCGTCCTCCCCACCCCTCCCTTGCTGGGCAAGGGGTGGCCTGGCAGCTGAGCCACCATGAGGGGTTGTAAGGCTGGTGGAGGCCAGACACTGTGCCTGGGCAGGGATTGGGGGGGCTCTGCTCCGTAGTGACCACCTGGCTACAGGCATCTTCTGATAACATTAAGATACCGGGATTATTTGTTCCATTCCAGAGTTTCAAACCAGTGCCTTCTCTCTGGACCATGGTGTCACAAGCCAGGGAGGGGAGAGGATGCAGGCACCAAGTCCTGTCTCTGCCCCCTTCTACTCTGAGAAGCCTCTGGGGTCTCAGCATCCTCATCTGGGGATTGAGGCAGTTCCACCAAGTTCTAATAGACCGCACTGACTCCTGGGCTTTGGACAGCACCTCTCTTCCAGCTGGTGGAAGCAGGCTAAACCGCAGCACGAGGTGGGGCGGCCCCACAGAAGCCCCTGGTCCCACTCCATGAGACCCATCACGCATGGTTCAGACAGGAGAATGGGCTTCTGCAGAACCGCCTCCCACTGCTCCCTCTTCTTTTCATTTGAAAACTAAAACAGTGAAGGAAAGGTATGGAGCCAGCACAAGTCGAGCCATGGGAGGCACACGGTCACCATACCCACACCCCCAGCCCGCGCTGCCCAGGCTGACACTCACTGACATCAAAGGCTGCCTTCAGTGCCTGGATGTCCGTGGCCACTCCAGACACGCGGTAGATGCCCACTTCCTCCATGCCCCGGCGCTCGATCTCCTCCACACACTGGCGCACAATGTAGGGCACCTTGGATCTCTCCCTCCTGCAGGGGAGAGGCAGTGCCTTTAGTGCCTGGTGGCTCCAGCGCAGGCTGCAGTGAGGCTAGACCCACCCCGTCTGTACATCTGGACACCCGGAGATGGGGGTGATGGAGGCCCCCAGGGTTGGGCTCACACGGACTTGTCTGCATGCTTTCCCTCTGCTGTGAGAGCTCATGATTACCATCACTTACATCTTCTCAAGGCTTTGTTCTTCCTTTTTAAAGGTTTTATTTATTTGAATCAGAGAGAACACGAGCAGGGGAGGGGCAGAGGGAGAGGGACAAGCAGACTCCCAGCTAAGTGGGGAGCCTGCCGTGGGGCTCGATCCCAGGACACCGAGAAGGTGACCTGAGCCAAAGTCAGACGCCTCACTGAGCCACCCAGGTGCCGCCACTGTTAGTGCCTTTCTAAGGTAGCTGGATGCCTGTGAATTATATGGGATTTAGGAGGTCAGGAGGCTTTTCTAAGTGGTATCAGCCATAGGAAGTCAGTTACAAAGATCCAGGTGTTGGGCAAACAGGTGACCGCACAGGGTGCTGGACCCAGTCTCGGCCCTGCTACCCACTTGCTGTGTGAGGGGAATCCTGATCCCTCCAAGCCTCAGCAAGAGGTGAGAGAGGTGAGCCCTGCACACAGCAGCATGCCACCACCATCTGCTGGATGAATGACTCCACAGGGCCGTCTCCAATCAGCACCCAGAATCCTGGGATTCTAAACACTATTCACTCACGTCTTAACAATGCACAATGCTGGTACCTCCATACGGGACCCTGGAGTAGGAATACTTCAGAAACGGGAGACATGCTGTTTGGAGTGTCTGCTCCGGCCTAGCTCAGCACCTGGATTCAGGAGCCCAGCAAAGCTCCCTCCCCAGACACCCCATCAGCAGCACTTATTTGAATAACTGCTGACACAGTCCTCTCTGCTCAGGCCCCAGACCCTGGGGACAGCTGGGGTGCAGCTGGGGGCGGGGAATGGTGTCTGGACACAATTAGGTGTCCGGGGAACATCGGATGCAGGCCCCGCCCTGGACGACCGGTGAGGTCAGGGGCCTGGCCGGATTCCAAATGGTGGAAATGAATGAAGGATCCTGGCAGGGAGAGACCTGTGTCCCTGAGAACTGCTCTCAAACATAGACTTCTCCAGGCAGCGGACCTGACCAAGGGGTCGAGGTGGCCATCATGCTACAGGAACCCCGATCAGGACAGATTCTGAGTGAGGGAAGAAAACCCTGACCTTGTACAGTTCCAGTAGTGTGGGAGCCTGCCCGCACAGGAAGGTGGCGAGGATATCCCTAAGCTGATAGGGCATGTTTCATCGTAATCATGGGAGGCAACCAAGCACACAGAGTGCTCTGGGGGCCTGGGAGACAGCCTTGTGCACAGAGGACTGTGTACTGAGAGGGGAGACCCTCACCTGTTCTTTCCTTCAGAAACATCTGAGGAGGAGTGCCCACTGTGCCCAGGGATGAGAGACCTATAAACTCTAGTCCCCCTCCACTCACTTGGTGACCACGGCAATCTTGACTCCGAAGACGCCCGTCTGTTTTCGGGAAGGCATTCTCTTCAAGCTGAACTCCCTACTGGTGAACTTGACAGAGAGTTTCACTTCAATCTGCAGGGGAAGGCAGGGACACGGCCCTCTCACCTTTCTGGGACTCACAGTCTGAGTTCCCGGAGGAGCAGGGGGCTTGGCAAATCACTCCCCCTCCCTGAGCAAGTGGGCTAAGATCCCAGTGTAGGGCGGGTCCCTGGCCCAACTCAGCAAGAACTGGGACCGGTCAGGATGATTCAAGGGTTGGTTCTTGCAGGACACTGCCCCCAAACCCTAACTCCCACTGCTTTTCTTTCTTAATAGTTAACAAAACAACAGAAAAAGTACAGACAATAACATAACAAAAAGCCATGAATAATCTATCAAATGTTAACATTTTGTCACATATGCCCAGACCTTTTCTGGTATGTAATAGTTTTATTTTTTTTTTTAAAGGTCTAAATCCTTCTGGGACCCTGAAGACTAATCAGGGTCGCAGTTTCTACAGGTAGACACCAGGGTCAAGGTCCTGCCTATCCTGTTCAAGGAGGACGCTGGGGACTACTCTCCAGCCACCAATGGATACTTTCCTGCCCGTAGTGACCCTGCTTTGCAGTGCCTTTCCCTCCTCCAGCCATGGCCCACCTCAGACACTAGCTCAGGCTTAGCCTCCTTCTGATTGTTTTGGAAGGAATCGGTGCCACCCTCATCTTGTGGGAAAAGTAGGCACCAACATACCCCATTCATGGCGATGACAGTCCGCTGCCAGTCTCTGTCCTGCAGGGCCTGCGGGTCCAGCTGAAAGCAAGCAGTTAGGATTATCAGGTGCCCTGAGATCTGCACAGAGACCCTGCCAGGAAGCAGCCCAAGCCTGTGCCTTCTCCACACCTAAGTCAGAATTAGAGCTGGACCTCTGTTTGCACCTCTGTCTGGAGGCCAAGAGGGGTCCTGAAAGAGAACTTGCTAGAAAACCCTTGGAAACTGAGAGCCATCCTGCTCCCAGACCTGTGCTTCACGGGTCCCAGGCTCATGGCTCAGGGCCCTGTTCCTCCCTCTGTCCCTTCCCATGGGGAATTCAAGTCCATACTGGTGGTCAACTTACTCCCCTTCACCAACCATCACAGGCGCCATGTGCAGCTCAGGGAGGCTGAGCATTTGGCTTAGATATTTTGAGAAACCCAAGTTCAACAGGAACTTTCAGAGGGCATGCCAATGAAGAGTCTGGGACAGTTTTCCCCCTGAGAGTGCCAGGTGGTAGGAGCCCATGCAGGAGGGGTCTCCAGTCCAGGCCAGTCCTATGGTTCAGAGTCAGGACCAGAAGGACCCAGAGCCCAGCTCCAAATCACACAGCCAGTGATGGGCGCTGGGGGGCCCTCTGCACCCCCTCCAACTTTTACCCCACATAGCACTGAGTACCGGCCTGTAGGACCATGTTGCTGAATCTCACCCCACAGCCTATGCTGCTATGAGACTCCGACCTTCAAGGTCAGGCCAAGGCCCACCATCTAGGAAGACTCCATCTCCCCTGTTTTGGTAAGTACACATTCCACACCACTGAACACCTGGGAAGATCACGTTTCAAAAACAGTTCCCTGGGTTCTACTCCCAGAGTTGTACCAGCAGCGGGGGGAGAGGAGGGGAAATCTGGGATTCATCTAACTAGAAACCTCCCCAAGGGATTCTGATATAAAGCCAGATTAGGGAGCCCCTGTCCGACACCGTATAACCTGGCGCTCCTCCTGCAGGGCCTTGTGATTTCATCACTTGCTTTGTGTCTGCAACTAGACACTCCACTGGAGAGCGGGGTCTGTGTGTTGTAATTGCTGCACACACCAACTTGTGCATGTGTGTGCATGCACACGCACGCACACACACACACACACACGGACAGTACTGAGCACAGCACCAGGTACAGAGGGGTGCATCCCGTATCTACCCACTGCAAGCAACCCAAGGGGTGAGAGCCACATGGGCCTTGTGCAGGATAGGAAAGAAGGTCCAGTGGCAGCTACAACTCAGGTGTTTGCAACCTGAGCCTCTCTCCCTACACTGCTTGGCACGGAGGCTCAGCACAGGCACTCCTGGCAGGGGCAGCGAGGCATCACCTCCCCTTCAAGGGCCTACTGGTTAACATCCCCAAAGATCTGAAATGCACGGACAGAATGACACAGAAAAAACAAAGGGTGGCAGAGTGTCTCCCTCCTGCAGCTGTAGGGTCACAGGTTCTCATTCCTTAGGGGCCAGACTTCTGGGCCACAGGGACCCCAAACTCTGAGGGGCAGGGCCTGTGAGCAGGGACCAGGCAGTCACAAACCACTCAGAAAAGAAAAACCTAACTTCCCCGAGAGAGCGAATCCCAGGCATCCAGCTGAGGGAACGGCCTCCTCCAGGGGTGGCATGAGGGGGATGATGCTGGGGCCCCACACTCCCAACCGGACCAGGTGCGGTGAGACAAGATAAAGGTCGGGTGCACCGCCAGCCTCTCACCCCCAACTCCTGTGCCCTTAGCTGTCCAGGAAGGAAGGGGACAGACACCGTCCCTTCTGCTCCTAAGCAAAGGGAGAGCTTCACACCACCACTGGGAGTTTCCTTTAAAGGGAAACACAAAAGCAGCTTCAGCAGGAAACCCCCCCTTCCCTGTCCCTCCTGGGAACGGTAATCCCTGGGCCCCTCTCCCAATGCAGCCAGCAAGCAGAGCAATGGAGCACCACATCCAGGCAGCAGGGACCCTGCCCCGACGTGGCCTCTCCTGGGAAACCATGGCACACCCCTCTGCCCACCTTGCCCTTGCACACGAGGTTTCGGATGCAGGTCCACAGGGCGGTGCCCCGAGCACACAAGTGCTTTTCGGCAGAGGCCAGCCGGCTCCGGCCCGCCCGGCTGGGGTGGAAGTACCGCAGGACGCCCTGTATAGCGGCGGGGGCAGACAGCATCTCTCGCATCCTTGGCTCTGATGTTGTGAGAGGCCGATGTGGCTAGACAGGAGCGTGTTTGGACAGGAGTGTGACAAGCTCCCGGTCTCCACTGCCTTTTGACCACGCTTGTCGGGAAGCCCCACCCCTGCAGCCTGGCTCGCCAAGGTCAAAGTTTCCGATCACCCCTGGATTCTCCTTTTTTGTGTGTGTTTGGAAATTACAGCCCCATCCCCCCCAGCAGCCTATTGGTTACGGGAACTCCGAGTCAGTTTTCTTTAAAGCCCAGAAAAGTCAAGCTTCCTTCTCAAGTGCCTGGTTTCCTGTGGGTGCCTTTGGAAACACTGAGTAACATGTGTCTGCCTGGCTAGCCTGCCTGCCTCGTGGCTGGAAGTGCTCTAGGGACACCCCCCTCCTATGAGCCTCTACCACCCCAGTCAGGGACACCAATAATAGTATGCAGTCTTGCCTGGATTCAGAGCAGACATCCCACGGCTGCCTGCGCCCCCCGCCCCCTGACATAGGCAGCCCCATAGAGGGCGTTCACTGTCATTGTCCACTGCCAGCACCAAGGTGCAGCCCCATCGCCACCTGGCCCCAGAGGCTGTGGCATGAGCTGGCCTCCAGAGTGCAGACCTGGCCCACGGAGCCGCCAGGCAGCTCCTCAGCCAGCCCCCAGGACTTGCAGCAGCAGCTCCAGTGGGAAAGACCGGCCCTGGGCTGGCTTGGCTCCAAAGAACAGAGTGTGCCGAGCAGAGCGGAAGCAGCATGAAGAATAACACGATGATGAGGCCCAAGGCTTGGGGCAGTTGGGCTCCAAACGACATTCAAGGCTGGCACGCGCTCTCGTGCGGCTATTTCAAGAACCAGAGAAGTAAACAAGGCAGGACTGGGATTTGGGAAAATAGATGACTGAGGAAAGAGGACCAGGAAATGGTGCTCCAGACGCCCGTGGGGGCCCCTCGGGGTCTCAAGGTCTCAGCAAGGAATGTGGCTGCTGCTGGGGGATGGGGGACAGGGACTGGGCGGGTCAGGGGGTGGTTTCTGCTCACCAGTGTTCTCTGGAGGAAGGGCTGGTTTCTAGCTTGTCTCCCCAGGGTTGGGCAAGGTGGGGGGACACTGGTAGGCGGTGGGGCTGGTGGATGGCTGCCCCCTCATATCTGGGTGGCTCTGCTGAGGACCAGGCGCTGCCCTCAGCCTGAGAGGCAGGACTAAACCGCCCAAAGGAGGCAATACCCATTCCCTCTGTGTCCACTGTCACCACCCAGGATGGCCCAAAAAGGTTTCCCACGTGAGCACTGTAACCTTACTCCCTCCCTGGAATGGGTCTTCTGAGAGACACCCAGAGAAATCTCTCCGGGAGGGAAATCTGGTTTCCCGTTTCTACTCTTATTGCTACAATCTGTTCTCCCGAGCTCCAGCGTCCACATCTTCAATTCCTTGCTGCCCTTCTCTGGTCCCCACCAGGCTCCAGCATCACTTAAATGGATAAAGGAACACTGCATAGGACATCTAGGATGATAACAAGTGCTGGGGAGGCTGTGGAGAAACGGGAGCCCTCAGATACCGCCGCTGGGGATATAAAACACAGCAGCCACTCTGGAAAAGAAGGGCAGTTCCTCGCAGAGCTAAACTTGGCTGCCCGACACAGCAATTCCACCCCCGGTTTCCACACGGGAAGAATGAAAACATCCGTTCACACCAAGACCTGTATGCACACGTTCACAGCAGCGTTAACCGTAATAGCCCTGAGCTGGAAACCCAAGTGTCCATCAACTGGTTGGTGGATAAACACAGCATGGTAAATGGACACATAGGATGGGCTATGATCCGGCCATAACCAATACTTGCTAGCATGTGGGTGACCCCCACAAACGTGCTCAGTGTTAGAAGCCTGTCACAAAGGCCACATGATACAGAATGATTCCATTTATGTGAAATACGCAGAATGGGCAAATCTGTAGACAAAAAAGCAGATCAGCCTGGGTCAGTGGGTAAGAACAGTGGGCAATTATAAATGGGAATGATGAAATGGTTTTGGGGGGATGGAAATATTCTAAAACTGGATTGTTGGTGAGAGTTATACAACTCTGTAAATTTACTAAAAATGACTGAATTGTATACTTAAGATGGAGGTACTGTATGTCATGCTAGTTTTAGAAAATAAGATATAGGCTCCCAGAATGGATTACAATAGAGCAAGGAGGTCCCAGGTCACATGGCCACACTTTCTTCACCGGGACAGAGGTACGCTTCTTGAGGGCAAATCTTGGGGAATCTGGACAAGAAGGATTTGCTCACATGTTTTTACATGTTCATAGCTTTTAAAGCCTAAAATCTTCCTCATAAGTTTATTAAACACAATCTTACCCATTTTATGTGTCTGGTACAAGAGACACTTTGGACCTCTCCCAGACAGTGTCAGAGGTGACACGGGTTTCTCCCCTTGCTCATTTACCCACAACAGGGGCTGTATCTCATTCATCTCTGAGCACCCGCACACAGGCACCCAGGAAGGCATCCCTCTGCCCAATAGCACAATGCCATAGCGTGCTGAGGGTCTGTGTGGATGGGCCGTTGTGTGGTTTGGTGATGAAAGGCTGGGTCTCTTGGTTCCTCTCTAACAGTATCTGCTCTCCCCAACCAGCTGACTGAAAACCACATTTTCCCCAAACCCCATCTCCTGCCTGCCTGACCACAGCTCTTATTTTCACTTTCGCTGATGTCTGCCTCTCGTACAGGCCCCAAGCACAGGGCTTTCGTCTTTTTCATTTGCTGTGGTACCTCCGTGTCAAGACACGGGTATATGAGATATACGACATAAACTTTTTTCATATACATAGATTACAACACGTGTTGGCACAGACTGAACATCTGGTCTCTTGG